CCAAATCACAAGTCAGGGAATGGCAAAATATTTTTCTGGTTAGAATTCACAAAATATTCTTCATTGCATTTTTTTGGATGCTGTATCTCGTGTAACAAGATTTCCTGGAAGTTGTGTAGATTGTTTGAAACCTAAAACTGGCTAACCCAAAGATGTGCGTCCAAAGAAGTCTATGCTTCTTCTGTCTAGAATATTTTGTGGTTAGTTATTTTAAGCTACAGATTGTACCTGTTAATAAAACAAGAATGTACCTGGGCTTTTTGGAAAGCTTTCCTTCATTTAGATAAAAGCACTTTGTAACATAGTAGTTTATACTATCAGCCCCTCCCCCATTTGGACAAGAAAGAAAATTTGCATCTTTTACAGGCCATCCACAGACAGTGAGGAGGAGAGATGCTATGCCAGAGGCACATACACCTTGGCACTAGATTTTCCATGTCTGTACGCCTATGCAGGGAAAGTCGGGGAAAGGAGAAACATCTTCTCCAAAAGTAGTGTTTTTGTACTACAGTTTCTTCTAAAGATCATGGGAAGTGAGAATAAAGAAGATACTAACATTTGAGATTTTACCCTTCTGAGTTTATTCACCTTTAGAGTCTATGCTGTCAACAATTGCCTAAGTTGTCTTTCTCTTCTGTGGTAATCGACCTTTTTTACTTTAACATGTATTTCCTTGCACTTAACTTTGACTTATACTAAAATTCCAAGCTTATCTTTCCTAGCCCAATCCTTAATACAGAGAGAAGTGTTTTATTTTTAGGAAAAAAAAGTTCCTCCCTCAATAAATTGTTTTCTACACTATGTCTCCCTAGACACTCAAAAACATTAATTTAAAAAAGAACAACAGAAATGACCCTTTGTTCTTAATTGTTTACATTTACCCTTCCATTAAACCAGTGAATCAAAGGAGCAAGGTTTATTGAGAATGAAATCATATCTCAAAAATATGATCCCGATTGTATTAACAACAAAGAAAATATGTGGAAAAATGATAAAATCTAAGTGATTATATAAAGAACTATATACATGCAAAAATTTGGAGAAGGTTGCTATAAAATGTGGACAGTAGGATGAATTATCAAGGAAGAGTACCATAAAATAAATAAATTGAAAAGATAAAATCTGAAAAAGCAAACAAGAATTAGGAGCAACTTGCAGAAGTCATAAAAGGAAATAGAAAACTATTATTTTAAAGTGCCAGAGTCGGATGTTATTGCAATTTTAAAAGTCAAGAAGTATGTAAATTTTGGCAGCAATTTTGCAATGCCAGCTCCTCATAAAATTCTTTTAACAGTTCCACAAGTTCTATAGGTTAGCATATAACAAAAATATAAATTAATGAGAAGCATATACAATCACTTTCAGAGCTGTTATACAGTATCTTCCTAGTCAGTATTTTTGTTTTGGTTTGGAGTGTATTAAAGGCCCTATTATTTCTGGTATACAGATTGTATATACTTCATGTCGTGTACAGATTGTGTATACAGAATGTTCATACTTGACTGTGACTCCACTTACACAGGTGAGCACTGAACCTCGACTTGGGCAGTTTCAGTTGCAATGTAGAACTTTAGATATCATGTACTTATTTTAAAAAAGTGACTTATTATTTGTACTGGGAACAAAACTGAATGAGATGAATGGCTCATATAGCTTAATTTCTCAAATTAAAACTTTATATAACCACATTCAGTCGTTTCCATCATTCACAGTTAGAGACATCCTAATACATTAAAAATGATTACAATCAGTAAGGCAGCTAATATTTTCACAATATATAAGACAGCTTCTTAAATATAAGATAGCTTTGTTCTAGGAATCTAAACTGCAATTAAGGAAGTTAATACTCTGGGTCTTTAAAAATGCCTATACTGTCTTTATTCTTTTTAAAACTCAACATAAATCTTTAAGACTTTCATATGGTTGGAATTTAATTTTACACAGCAATATCTATTGCCTCTCAGAGTTGAGCACATCCCCAATCTTTGATACTGTGATGATACATTCAAGATATATTAAATTCCAACGGGAACATCAAAACCTTTCTGATGTGGTGGACCAGTTCTATGAGTTCACATACGATTGGAAGTTACTATGTCAGGCAGTACCTTTTAACCCACACAACTAATTTTTAAATAGACTCCCAACAGTTTGAATTGTAATGTGTCAGTACCCAAACTCAGCTTTGAGTATGTTCTGACGTTTTAGTAGGTACCAAAAGAAAGAAACAAGGATGCTAAGCTGACTTTCACAAATGAGACTTCTTCAGTCACTCCAATAAGAATAACTTAACCATCTCTTTTGCCTGAATATTTATCTACTGGTAAGTGGCAAATTTGATACATGTGTGACAGGAAGAGAAATAATTTGAATGACCAATACAGTTATAAATCTCCTCTGCTACATACCAAGAAAGAAGTAAATGATAAATGAGTAACAATGTGAATAACCTGTAAGAATTTGGAGAGAGCCAGTTCTAATCATCCTATAAACAAGTGTTTAAAAGGAAGATTTATTAAGCAACAGATTTAGTGTTGAAAGAGAATTTTGGAAGATGATTCCACTAATAGAAGATTATCACTGAAGAACATTTAAAGGAATCAAATGGGGCCAAAGGGATTAAACACTCATGATTGGATAAAAGAACCTCCTTGGTTTAAGTGCTTTTGGTTGCTTCAGTCTGAAGAGAGGCATGGTACCAAAGAGGAGGAAATTCAAACTTGAGAGGTTAAATTGTTATGATAGCACCAGACAAGCGTGCTTTCACTGAGATTATATTACCTGTAAAGGGAACAGGAGTGAAAAGCGACAATCTTGCACTAATAGCCTGTGGATCTGGAAAGCCATAGTAAGTGGAGAAGACTGGAGAAACAAGGAGTCTGAAACACGGAATGCTTACTATACAGACAATATACAAAGGTTTTGTGTTTAATATAATATTGCATTTTATTTACTTCACATTATTTAAACATTGATTTTCACCTCTGCTTCCTAAATGACTATTGCTGCTTTAAATTAAGAACACTGAAGTTATGGAAATCTTAAGGATAATACATACTGAAAGGAAGTGAATTTGAAAAAAAGAATGTTTTTAAATGTGGTTAGCATTTGTGTATGTAATCTACTGAAAAATAAACTGAAATTTCCCTTGTAACTGCAATCCCTCCTATAAAGGAAAATGTGCCTTTCAAAGACATAATACATGTATTTGATGTGGTACCCATTTGAGATTTAAAATATCTGAGTTTAGCCTCTTTTAGGCTATTTAACTTTCTTCGTATTTCAATTCCCTGCTAGTAAACCAAGGAGGATAATATTTTCACCTCTTGGAAACATTGGAAGGTACATTTTTTTTTTTTTTTTTTTTTTTTTTTTTTTTTTTTGGATTCAACTTAATACAAAATGTTCAGAGATTTTTTTTTCATTTGAAAAATGTTCATGTAGTTATTATTTGATTATTCTTTTTTTCTTTATGCTTCAAATGCATTTAAATATTTTAATCTACTGGGAAAATGGTAGACGACTTTCATTCCCATCACAGGTCTCAAATCATTCCTTTTCCATTGCATTTCTCTTGTTCACCAAGCTGAATGTTCCCTCTTTATCATTCAAAACTCAACACTGAATTACCTTCTCATGAAGGACACACCTCATGCAAAACTTTTGAACGTATATGTAGGAACAGGGTTCTGATTTATGGACAGTTCTTAAGCTTTACTTTAATTTTCCTTTTATTTCCATTGACAGCAAAATTTTCTGGAGAGTACAATCAAGATAGTGTATTCATAGAAATAACATTAACAGAAGCTTGGTCATAAATGAGAACAGTCATAATAACGATCTCCTTTACCAAGGCATTCCACACAGAGAGATAACAGCACAATAATTAAAGAATTTGTCGTTCGTCACACAACAGATACAAAAGAATTGCAATAACAAAATCATAATTTTAAAAAACGTTCTTATACTAAAAATAAAAGCAAAAATATGAGATCATGCACTGGAGACAAAAGCTAAAAGTGAATAGTTATAGCAAAAACATTGCAAAACATAAAAATGTTCAAGTATCGTGAGAAGACAGGGAAGATTCAAACAAAACAGTTTCAGAATAAATCAATTCCATTTACTACCCTAGGAGAGACACTGACACCATGGTCTTTGTCCACAAATACTTTAGGCTGTTAGAATACATACCGTTACCCATTTAAAGGACAGAATCCATTTTCTTGGAGCGTGTCTACTGTTACAAGGATGGAATGAAATTCATTGTTTCCCTTGGTTACAAATAGACACTAATACTTCAGGAGAAATATTCTCGAGTATAGGCCAGTGTGATGCCTTGGAACAGTAGGGGCCTGGGGGGGGGGGCATTGGAAAGCATTGACTCTAGCCCTATTTTTTTCATCATGGTCTGTGAAAGACACTTCATAGTCCTGAAATGAAATTTCACCCCATGTCTCAATTTTGCTGAAATTGAACCATCAGAACTAGCAGAGAGCAGTAAAAATAATAATTAAGTGGCTTGACCTTGTCATTGATGCTTCATTTTTTAAAAAAGTATCGAAAAAAGAAACTGGATCACTTAACGAAACTAAGAATTGCATAATGCTTCAGTGGGGTTGTTCGTACAGCAACAGCAAATTCTTCCCCCAACAGAACTCATCTACACAGTGCCTTTACACTTTGTGGTCGAAGACTATATCATATTTGAACAGTGGCTACTTTCTACATGATTAGGAAAGACATGTTTGTCATGGGAGTAAAAAAATAAAATTTGTCTGTTAAATTACACATAAATATAAGGTACAAATGTATTTTTAAAATACAGATTAAAATAATCACACTTGCATCGTGTACATACGAAAATACAGTATTCAATATTCAATATACACAGACACATTTATGATAAATGCAACTATTTGGCAATGCCAGTTCTCTCAGGGTTTTCTCTGTCCCCGATTTCCACACACACGGAAACAAGAAGGCTTCACTAGCATCTCCTAGCTCTGGCGAACGTCTTGAAGCAGTTTGTTAATCTCCGCCACCAGCTCGCTGGCATCCATGAGTTCGTGTTTCCCGTCGTTGAGATGGTTGAGCACATTATCAAAATCATCTTCTTCATAGTTCTCGGGGATCTCCTCCATGGCCGGCAGCCACTTGGAAGAAGGCTGCACACTGGAGTGAGTTCCAAGTGGGGGCCCCGAGTTGTTAGCGGGATTCTGAAAATGTGTACTAGCTGCCCAGGCTGCCACGCCTTGCGGGTAACCCGCAGTCTTGGCTGGCAAAGGCGCCTTCCGCCGTTCCAGAGAGTTGGAGCGATCCACCTCAGGACACTCGGAGCAGGTGTCCAGGGAAGGGGGTAGGAGGCGCTGGAACACGCTGCTCATTTCCGAGAGCAGAGAGGACGTGCTGGTGTCCCCGGAGTCCTCCTCGTTTGGGGAGTCCTTCCCAAAGGTGGAGAAACTCTTCTTCTTCTCACCAGAATCTGCAGGCTGGGCGTCGTCCTCAAGACTCTGATGGGGGTGCTGCTGCTGGGGTTGTGCTGGGAATTCTTCCCCCGGGATGAACATGTTACTCCTATAGTCAGAGGACGGCGAGGGCAGAGGCGGCATCCAGCACTGGTCAGAGTGTCCCAGGACCCTGCACTCCTCCGTGCAAAGCCTCATAGCTACACCCAAGGAAGACAACAGGGATTCATCGTCATGCTTAGCATATCTCAAAATGGTAGAAAAGAATGCAAGTTTAGTCTTAAAAAAAATAGGACACAGTTTTAAACTACTACCGTGATGATACCCGTTATTTTACACATTAAATGGACTACAGTTATGGCTTTAATCAGTTAAATGGACCTCTTTTTTTTCCCCCTGTTTATCAAAGAACAAAAGGAAGATTATGACTCACATACTTCTCAGGAATATTATTTCTGCTACTCAAGTAATGAGGAAATGGATTTATAGCTTACACATGAGGATGTCTGAAAAGGAGCAAAGGTATGGGTGGTGGGATATTTGCTGGACATAAATTCTAAAATCCTCAGAGCTGTATGGTGAAATCTGTGATTTTAGAATGCCACCAGATTAATTTTTGAGCAATACCTATGAGTAGCCTTCTGGATATTGGGGTCTATCTGACCAACTTTACTTTTAATGGAGGCATTGGGAATATAACAAGCTATCAGGTCATTATACTTAGTAAATTCTCTCAAAGGTATTTTGGATTATTTATTGATTTGTTACTTAAAATAGCAGTGCAAATTGTCCTCAACTACTGGACACCTATAGTTACTCTATTCAGAAGTCTTCTTTTAAAGGTTTGAAATTCAAGTAGATGGAAAAGTCATCAAAACTGAAGAATATACAAAATCCATTGGTTAGCTCTTCCAGTTGTTCCAATGTCTGATTGGAATTTGAGTGGCCACGCTCATAGAAAATAATACATGATATTAGAAAAGCAGAAAATAAAGAGGAGAAAAATTTCTAAATTTGGCAAAGGCAATAACTAAACTACAATAATAATAATGAAGGAATGCAAATAATAAATGCTATTAGAAAAGCAGAAAATAAAGAGGAGAAAAATGTCTACATTGACAAGTGCAATAACTAAACTACAATAATAGGAACGATGAAGGATGCAGAAATGTAAAACATACTTCACAAATCATTTATCTCTTTGAGTGACAATTATGTCTCTTCGGCATCATGATTTTGCTTTAGAGCAAGTGACAATGCAGAAAATGCAAAGTAATTATCTTACATTTGAACGAAACTGGATTGATAATCAACCTTAGCTATCTAGTCAGAGCTCATTCTTTAGATCTGGCTATTTAAGCAAGGTTTCTCTTCTTCCCAAATTATTGCTAAAAAGGATGACACTTGAACAATGTCAAAGCCCTTACCAGGAGAAGCAAGTAGTCTCTTGTGTTTATTGTTGTATCCCTAGCACCAGGTAAAATGTCTGCATAGAATAAGAATGCACTATGTATTTTCTAATCATCAGGGAAATGCAAATCCAAACCACAATGAGATATCACTTCAAATCTGTCAGGATAACTACTACAAAAAAAAAAAAATAACAAGTGTTGGCAAGGATGTGGAGAAATTCGAATACTTGTCCACTATTGCTAAGAACACAAAATGGTGCAGTCACTATGGAAAACAATGTGGAAGTTCTTCAAAAAATTACAAGGATAACTATCATATTATCCAGCAGACCCATTTCTGGATACTTATCCAAAAGAATTGAATTCAGGATCTCAAAGAGCTATTAACACTCCCTTGTTCACCGCAGCACTATTCACAATAGCCAAGGTGGAAGACAACCCGAATGCCTACCAGCAGATGAATGGATAAAGAAAACACAGTATTTGCATACAGTGGAATATCATTGAGCCTTAAAAAAAGAAGGAAATTCTGCAATATGTGACAACATGGATGAACCTTGAGGACATTCTACTTAGTGAAATAAACCAGCCATAGGACAAATATGGCATGGTTCCATGTATATAAGGTGTCTAAAATGAACAAATACATAGAATCCAAGAGTGAAATGGTGTTTGCTAAAAGGTGCATGTGCAGGGGGGTGAGAAAATGGGGAACTGCCAAACAATGGGCATAAAGTTTTGGTTGACCATAATGAAAAAGTTCTAGAGATCTGCTATACAACATTGTACCTATAGTTAAGAATGCTGTATTCTACAATTAAACATTTTTAAGAGGGTACGTCTCATGTTGTGTTATTATGCAGTAAAATAAAATTTTAAAAAAGATTAGTATGCAGAAAAAGAAAGGCGAAGAGTAAATGTTTCCTCTCAGAAAAAAAGAGAAATAAAGGACTTTGTTAAAAGGGGTGGAAGTCCCTCCCCTTCACCACTAAACCTTCGAGATAATTTGGTTTTATACCTCATCAATTCTGGACCTCATCCCTTAACAGAGAAGGGATAATCTGTGGAACAAAATTGAGAACAAGTGTTCTGAAGGAGAAAAAGGTCTGATTGGTAGGAAAACTAGAAATACACAGAAAGTAGAAAAAATACAGAAACAGCAGAACTAAATATGGGTAAAAGGAAGGACAAACACCCAGAATCCTTGTGTGATTTTGCCATGAAGAAAGCACACTCTTTTAGCATATCATTTCCTATTTAAATTTAAATGAAGATGGATGATTTAAGAAGAAAAGCATGTTTAGATTTACTGACGGCATGCATTTTTACTGCTGGGAAATAATTACTATTGTTCATCATTTATGTGGACAAAACCAAAAGGAGTTGAAAGTAACTGGAATGCCTTAATAGCACTGAGGTTTTCTCAGCAGTGAAATAGCTATCAAAGTGGTAATGAAGTTTTTTCCCTAATTCCCCGGGTCTGTGAAAATGGAAAGGAGATCTGTCTCTCTTGTCTTACACGCATCCTGTTGGAAGGACTGGAAACAGGTCTGATGATACCTTTCATTTGTTTTCCGGCCTTTGACCCTGTGGGAAGGACTTAAGTTTTTGATTATTTGATTGTCTTTGTTTTCTTTTAATATTTAATGACAGTGGGGGAAAACGGAAAAATTACATAGGCTTCTAAGAATCCCGAGTATGATCAACTTTCTAGAGACCCGAATATAATGAACATGCAACCAAAAATACAATCTGGATGATTCAAATGATGGTATATGTCCACAGGTAATTTTGTTTACAGGAATTTTTTAAAACAGGGAGTGCCATTTTATAACTTCACAATAAATAAATGGAGCCCTGAGTATTAAATAATAAATTAACATAATTTTTTTAAATTCAGAAAATAGGAAAAATTGAAGAAGGCAGGCTAATAGAGAGAATATTGGCAAAAATAGAGATAAGAAGGTAGTGGCACAGAATAGATCATTTCTGTTTCAGTGATATGCTCAACCTTTTCCCTGGAGACCCAACTATTTAAAAACATTCTCAGTGTGCATATAATTCAGAGCCACAGAGGTCTCATACCACAGCAGTAAGTCAGAACTTATTGGCAAGTGGTGCATATGGCTAATCTTTCTGTCTCTCCTTGAAACCTGCCAGGTGGTTACATTTCCCCTGGGAAGGGGAAGGCTTGAGGGAGCCGACAACTCTTCTTTCCCACTATATGACTTTCAATTTTGTGACTTACTATACTTTTTAGGTAGGACTCGACGTAAGGAGAAACGAAAAGCATGTGCCGAACTTCCATCAAGTCATGAGTTACTGAATAACCAATCAGTTATCTATTCAGAGCCTGCTATATGTGGAGTGCCATGATAGATCCTTGTCCTCAAATGGTTTCAGATCTAGTTCTGAGTCTAGTGTAACAAATGAGGCTCCAGATGCCCAGTTTAAGTGCCAGCCTATATGATGCTAAAGGCATGTCAAGAAAAGGAAAAAAAAGAGGCAAAGCGGAGACTAAAGTAGTTAAAGACACAAACTGTGAGAGATGAACAGGATTCAGATAGACACAGTGAAGAGAAGCCAGTTGTTTTTTTTTTTTCCAGGTAGAAAGGCAACATGAATAAAGGATTGACGTGGAAAGATAGTTCCAACTATTGCAAAAGATATGAAACAGCCCAAAATGAGAGTTAATAAGTTAGGAGTGGATTTTATTGGCCTTGGAATGCCAAGGGAAGTAGTTTTATTAGGTGTTGCTGGGCAACAAAAGTCAATAACTGATTTTAAGCCAAAAAAACTTTAAATTAAAATGTTCTGAAAAAGTTGTTCAAGCTGCATAAAAGAAATATTTGACAAAGGGAGGAGGTGCTAGAGAGCGAACCTCAGCTTGTACGCTGGGCCAGTAAACGGGCCCTGGAAGAATAGCCAGGACCCGGATACCAGCCATGACGATGGACAGAACTTGGAATTAAAGAGAAATGTCGGAGTAAAGTAATCACCAATGGCAGATTAATGAAAAGTGGAATGAGCTCGGGAAAGGAGTTTCACAAGAAACAAAATCAAAAGGCCTTTATAAATCACGCTGGTGCCGCTAAGACATTGGAAAAATGGAGATTCTGCAAGTAGTTCAAGATTTTGCACTGTAGCTCAAAGTTGAATGAGTAAGGAAGAAAGCATGTTGACAAACATGAGCTAACGGACAAGAATGCTTGCTGATTTTACTGCTCAGAATGCAGGATATTTCTGTGGGAATTAATAGAATGAATGACCAGAAATGACCTTGTTGGCAGGCAATGCAACATAACATAATCTATATTTGATCACAGTTTAATGCAGAAAACCAGTTGGAATAAGACACTTAAGTCCTAAAAATACACATGCTTTTGAAAACTGCACTGATTTCTGTTAATGGCATTCAGATGTGGACTTACATTTTTTTTTTTTTTTCCCTACTTGGCCTGTTTCCTGGGAATATAAGTTTACAAAGCATGAGCTGCCAGAAAGAATAATAAACCAGAAAATGGGTGAAGTATCATCAGAAGGATGGTCATAATTAAAGTAGCTCTGCACAGATACTCAGTATACATGTAACTTTCTACACCAGCCAGACATGAAGAAAGCTTAAAGTATTTTATAAGTCACTGGGAATATCCTGGCGCTCTATGCCACCTGAATGCTTTCTCCACATGGAGGCAGGTAGATAGTAAGAAAGAAATGTATCTACAGTGAAACAACATCATACACCAGCAATATAACTCTCCCACCACACGCCCAGAGTAAGTATGACTGTGCAAATATGGAATATTTTGAAAGGGTTGTCTGTATATTGAGCGGTATCATTGTTGATAATATAAAAGCAAAACTCCTAACTTTGAACGAAATGTTAACTTAGAAGGAGCCGAAAGCCACTCACTAAATAAGACTCACTATTACCTAGACTGTGTATCTACCCATTGTTTCCTCAATGTCTTTATTAACATGCATTTTTATTTTATTTTTTAATGCAAGCATTAGATAATTCTCCTGCCATGAACACGTCTGGTGTTGGTAACTTTGAAAGAATGAAAGAAAAGTCCTGCCTTTTTCTAAAACAGGTCAGCTAATATAATTATACAATTTCAGAATTAAAAAGGACTTTAGATATCATTTAGGCCCACAAATAGAAAAGTTATCTCAATAGGGAAAGGTATTTTCCTTTTAGCTGTATCAATATATTATAATTTCAGGGGCGCCTGGTGGGGGGGAGGTCCGTTGGGTAAGTGTCTGACTTCGGCTCAGGTCATTATCCCACGGTTTGTGGGTTCGAGCCCCACATTGGGCCTAGAGACTGCTTCAGATTCTGTGTCTCCCTCTCTTTGCCCCTCCCCCACTCACACTCTGTCTCTCTGTCTCTCTCTCTCTCAAATAAATATTTTTTTTTAATTTAAATGAATAGGTTTCACACAATTTAAAAAGAACTTACATAATGAAATACTGATGTTATGCCCACTGTACTACTTTTCATTTGGGAAATCACATTACTCAACATTGAGGACCAATATTCAAAATTAGGGTTCCATCAACATCACGGAACCGTAGAAATTTAGCCAGCCAGCCCTTTCCTTTCATTGGTAAAAATAATAAAACTGATTCTCTTTGAGCAAGTTTTCTGAGGCTGTATGTATCCCACTGGATTTTCAGAGATTTATTTTCTTCCTTGAAATAGGGAGTCTCTGAATAAAACAAAGAAACAAAGACACCACTGTGCAAATATTGGTTCTCATGTACATTATAGCCCTAATGGCAGCAGAAGTCCTTTCCACACACTCATCTATGACTGTAATAACATAATGAAATAGGCAGCATTTAATCACTTCGTAGAGGATAGTTAGACTTCAGAATAGAGGAACAAATCCATTACTAAACTTATTTTTTAAAAACCTGTTGCTTCATTACTCTTAATAGGTTGGTATTTAAGAGTATGGGATTGGTTCAAATCTCACCTCTACCATGTACAAACTGCCTGATTTGGGATACATTTTTTAACCTTTATAAGCTTCAGTTTTCAAATTAAAAAAAAAAAAAAAAAAAAAGGAGCACTACTCTTGTCACGACCCCACTCCACATTCCTGTGCGGAAGCCTTAGGAGACAGGATGCAGGTACAGAAGTCCTCAGGGGCCCCAGGTAAGCACGGGGACATTGGTGGTCACTCTTGGTGGCAACAACTACCACTACCACTAGGACTCTCTACGCAGTGATTTCGCCTGCATTTCTGTAGCTCTCTGAAGCCCCCTCACAACTCGTTCCAAAACTCTCTTACTCATCTATATTTAGAAAATAGATATTGGACGGAACTCAGACGGCAAGTAGTTTTGCTCTGCCTTTCTTTAATTTATCAAATGGCAGGCACTTGATTAACACTCAGCTGATCAGATTCAGTGGAGTTTAGGAATGTAAGTAGCCAGGGCGACGTTTTTATGTGTTCCTAAGAGTCGATTGATATTACAGTCTCTGGTAACGGGGTTGCTGCAGTGATATAGTCAGTGTTTACCCAGTTGGTTCAGACAGGTTCTACTGCACAGTCAGAGAGGGGGGACTCTACGGAAAACGTGGCTTTTAACTTCCCAGGGTCTCCTCCATCTGGCTACAGACTTAACATTTCCCTTGTAAACGCGTGTGCCTCTTCAACTACCGTGCGGATAGGAAATGAACGGTGGCAAAAATATTCTGTGCTTCCCACCTACAAAGCTGCATTCTTTGTCCTATTTTTGGTGATTGAAATGTACCATTCCCTAGTGTATTTTAATCTCTGATTCTGCGAGTGGGTTCCCATCACAGGAAATTTGTGTCTTCCAAATTATAGCCCAGTTCACCACCATGCACCAAAACAGGCCGTTTGAATAACAACAACCACCCAGTAATTTCACAGAGTTGCTCAAGAGTATCCTGTGGCAGCACTGGATGGGGCAGGGAGAGGAAAGAAATAGTGTGGCTCTCTATCCCCTCTCCCCACCCTTTCCTTCTTGTCCTGCTCTGCTCTCATGCTTACCCCTCCTCCACCAACTGCCGTGTCTGAAGTTTAAGAAAATAATTCTGAGGGGCTCCAGGTCATGTTCAATGCTAATAGTGTACAGATGACAGACGCTTCAGTGCAAAGGACAAAGAAAAATGTAAGCATGGGAGAAACTGTGCACTCATGGGTGTAGCAGATCTGAAAGTAAGAATTCATCATCTATCACCAGCCTCTTACCTGCTGGAATTCTTCCATCTGTAAGGAACAGGTCACTGAATCCTTCACCCAGCAGCCTGTCTATTGGTGAATCTCGCCCCAAATCATAATCACTGTCTCCTGCTTCACTGTCACCACGGCCACTGTCTTTCAAGCTAAATTTGTCCATGTCTTGGAGGGCATATCTAGAAAGATAAATCAGGGAAAGTATGGTTTTTACTCTGTAGCATTCACGCCATTAGAGACTCAATAGGTAACAGGGGGATAATTCATACCTATAACTCCTGGAATATTTGTTTCCTCGAAAACTTGGCCTTGGTTGATATTGCCCCTGGTGAAGCATTGAAAGAAGCTGGGAGACCTGCTGGAAACCAAACACACAGAACTGATTTCTGGAAACAAACCCCCTAATACTCACGAGCTTAAGCAAGGAAAAACAGTTGCTCACTGCTTTTCATCCTGATTAATTGAACATGTTATCTCTGTTTTAAAGATTTACACATGCTGGAATGTGGCAGACGATGCAGCCAGGCACCACACACAACTGAATACATCCCGGAGAGGCTTGAATGATCTCATACACTGCTTTTTTTTTTTTTTTTTTTTTTTTTTTTTTTTTTTTTTTTTTTTTTGAAAGAGAACTCCTTTATAAATAATAGACTGAGTTCCTTTATGTTTTAGTTCAGGTTAAAGAGATCCATTATAAAAATACATGGAAAATATTGTAAGATGCAACAATCTAGCACATGCAGTTAAAATAAGGTCAGAAAAAATTCAAAAGTTGAACAAATACAACATGCATTCAGATGGGATTCTGGAGGCCTCGGGTTTTTGCTGGTGCTGTTGTTGTTATCTTTTGGCTTTTTTTTTTTTTTTTTTTTTTTTTTTTTTTTTTTTTTCTGAGTAGAAGCCACAACTGTGAGAATGAAACAAGTCCCTTTATTTGTGGCTTCCAGTATCTTAATCTGGGAAGGAAGGGTATTCTAATTAGATAGTCATTTGGGAGATTCACATTTATTTTTCAATACTATGCATCATACATGCAAGCCCATTCTTTAAGGAAAACAGAACAGCATGCTAAACTATGCATACTTGCTACATACAGGTGATGTACCTTGTATCCCATTTAATTCGGATATTGTTAGTATTGTTTACTGCTTAAAGGAGACACTTAAGAACTAGCACATACACAACCTCTGCACACTAGCAGCTGACCGTGTCAGTGAGTTGGTACAGAGTGCGATCTTACCTCAACGGCAGGAGTGGCATGGGTGAGTTCTAGTGAGAAATTCTCTGGCACGTGGTTGGATGAGATTGTCACCAAACTGTTGAGGGACTGGTGACTGTGGTGACTCTGCCGGCTGCCCATCTGCCCTCTTTCCAAGGTGGGGGATGAGGATGGAGACGATCTGTGATGAGATCTGATGGGCAGAGTGCCATTCATCGTAGGCACCAATGTGATGTCCCCTTTGTGAATCTGCCTGGATGGCCTTTTTGGGTGGTGCTGGTAAGTGGATTCTGCTACCCTGCAGTTGTAGGATCTAGTGTCTTTCTTTTCTCGGTTACACCTCGTTGCAAACAGCACCATGATAACCAACAACACTGCACAAATGGCTCCTAAGGAAATAATTATAACCATGGAGACATCCAAAGATGCCTGGCTGACTGAGGTCATTGCTGTACTTGTCACTGACTCTGCATATTCAAAGATCGTACACTTCAGAAGGACTTTGGTATGCAGCTGGGGATTGCCTTTGTCCTGGATGATGACTGAGAGCTCCCACTCGGTGTAGGAAACAGATTCCATGCTTACATTGGTATGGATGTCACATGATCGTGGATCGATTAAAAAGATATTCTCCTCGTTGCCTGCTATTATGGAGCAGCTGAGTTCAGCATTCACACCAGAGTCTCTGTCAATTGCCCTTATTCTTGTGACATGAAAGCCACTTTCAGCCCCTTTGGGTATGGAGATTTCTGCAGTATTATTGCGCAGAGCAGGCCCTATAACCACAGGGACGTTGTCATTTTCATCAATGATGGTGAGCACAACTGTGGTATTGCTTACTAGTTGCTTTGGACTTCCTCCGTCTCTTGCTTCAACCACGAAAGTGATCTGACTCACTTCCTCATGATCAAAAATTCTGAGGGCATAGATGGCTCCATTAGATGGGTCAATGGTGACATAGGTGGTTATGGAACTGCCCAGGATAAAACTCTCCAAAATGGTATATGTAACTTGCCCATTTTCTCCAAGATCAGGATCTGTGGCCGTAACGGTGGTGATATATGCCCCTGGCGAGTTATTCTCTGAGATTGCAAATTCATATCGACTTCTCTGGAAGTGGGGTGGATTGTCGTTTATATCATTGATCTGAACAGTAAAATGTTTTACTGAAGAAAGACTGGGTGTCCCCTTGTCCTCAGCGATTACAGTCAAACTGTACTCAGATCTCTTTTCTCTATCCAGTGTGGCATTTGTCAAGATTAAATAATTGTTTTCATAAGTCTTCTGAAGTTTAAAGTGACCATGTCCGTGAAGCTTACAAACTATTTCTCCATTCAGCCCAGAATCCTTGTCCTGAACCCTGACCAAAGCAACAAATGTGTCAATGGGATCCCCCTCAAAAATATAAGATATTTCTTCTTTTCCAGGGGACATGAGGTTTATGTTGATTTCAGGTTTATTGTCATTAACATCCACAACCTTGATTATAATTTTGCAGTGAGCTGGGATTGAATTTGGGCCCAAATCTTGAGCCTGCACATCAATCTCATAGGATTTGGTGATTTCATAATCCACTTGCTTGAAAAGAGTCAAATGTCCTTTTTCTGAGTCAATTTTAAAAGTCTCTATAATTTTGGGAGACACATGACTGCTGAAGGAATATACAATTTTCCCATTAGCGCCCTCATCTGGATCTGTGGCGTTCAGGTCAAGGAGCAAAGTGCCAACGGGGGAGTTTTCTAAGAGTTGTATTACATAAGACTGCTGCTCAAAAGCAGGGCTGTTGTCGTTGGAGTCGGAAATGCTTATTTTTAGTATGGATGAGCCAGACCTCTGAGGCACCCCCATGTCTGAGGCAGTGAGCTTAAGCTCATAGCTTGACTTCAGCTCGCGATCCAGCTCTCTGACCACTATGAGTTCGGCATACTTGGCTCCATCGGTCCTGGTGCGAACCTCAATACTAAAAAAATCATTGGCAGAGAGAGAGTAGGTGTGGAGGGAATTTTCCCCAACATCTGGATCAAATGCACTGTCCAGGGGGATGCGCGTCCCAACGGCCGCGCTCTCGGATATCTCAATAGGTATGACAGATCTTGAGAACTGGGGAGCATTGTCATTGATATCCAGCACTTCGACTTCAATATGGAAAAGCTGCAGATGCTCGGTGGGTAGAGTGATCACATCAAACTCTATGGAGCAGTTCAAGTTTTTCTGGCACAGTTGTTCGCGGTCGATTTTAGCCCCTATGCTGATTTCTCCGTTATCCTCATTTACTACAAGGAGAGGAGAATTCCCCCTTTGCATGGCTCGGAAACGAACGGTGGAAGGATTAGGCAGCTTAACTAAAACATCAGCCACATCCTCTGATAGTCTTGCAATCACTGATCCAACCCTCTGCTCCTCATAAATCCTGTATTTCAAATTCTTGCCCAGCACCTCGCAGTTGAAAGACACCGTCAGGAGTGCAAAAACAAATCTAAAGTGCATTTTAGCATTCATTTGGCACCTCGGTCAGTTTAGGAGACTCCTCACACAGACCAAGTTAAAACAGCAAAGCAATTCCCCTCAACTTCCTTTGGCAACTTAAAGCTAAGCTACGTTTGGTACTTGCCACTTGAAAGCGTCTCTTAATAACACAGCACAGCAATTAACAGCTCGCAAACTTTGGGTTTATACACACCGTGTCACGACTCGCAGCTCTTGCCGGCGCGGAGTCCGAGCCTTGCATTTGTCCTCTCCGCAGGCAGAAGAGGGTCACCTCCGCGCTTCCCTCCTTGTGTTGTCGGAATCCATCGATTGCAGGGTGCCGGCAGAGGCTGCAGTGAATCTTTCTCCAGCGATGCTCTCTCCCTTTCTCCGCGCGGCTGCAGACTAAACACCCGTGATTGCTGACTCCAGTCTAAAATCTGTACAACTTCACTCCAACTCAGACAAAGCTCTCCTGCCCGGCGTGTGTTGAATCGCTTCCAGCCAATCAGCGTGCTTCCAAATCAAAAGCTGATGGTGTCCCCAAAGCGAGGGCGGTCGCCGAGAGTGGAGGGTGGAGAGGGAGAGCGAGCGGCGAGGAGGAAGGCGGGGGCTTGGGGCGGGCGGGGGGGTGGGGGGGGGGGCGGCTGGGAGAGCCGGGAGGAGGGCCGGTTGGGGGCTGGGGAGGAGGATGGGAGACGCTCCTTCGCTCCGCTCCTCCCTTCCTCCTCTTCCTCCTCCCCACGCCCCCCTCCTCCTCCCAGTCTGCTGCATTCACTTTCTCTGAGCGTGCCACGACAAAGGGGAGCAAATTACAGAAGAAAAACTTTAAATCAACTTCTGGTCGCCTTTATTCAGTTGGCATCTTAAATTGTTCTGGTTTTCTTAATTGCCCTTTCTTCTTCCGCAAACATGTAATCATCTTGCTTTTCATAGTCTTTAAGTACTGGTTTAACTTGAAATACCTCTAAGTGCATTTTGTTGGTGAAGGAATTTAATAAAATTTGAAAACTTGCTTCTAATTATGCTTCTCAGACCGCCCCCTTCCCCTCCCCCTCTGTAAATGCTTGGGTCTTTCTCCTGTGAGCACAGGCAGATTTTCTTGGGGCTCTGTTTTAAAGAACAGAACAAGTAAGGAGGTTTCATTTTCTGTTTTTCTTTCATCTTTATTCTTTGAAGATAAGAAAAGGGCTATTTTCCACCCTTGAATTCTCTTAATTAGCAAGATTTAAAGGAACACCTTAGGATTTGAAACTAATTACCGATATAGTTCTACCATCTATCACTTTTTTCTTTGAGTTGGGGCAAAATTGGCTATGATATTTCTTTGTCTTGTACTTCAAAAAAATCCTATTTGCCTTCAGTAAAAGACATTTCATGCTTTAGCATGCCAGTTTCTACCAAAAGGTTTTCTCTATACATGGTGAGCCTTCACAATGTAGACTGGGGGAGGACCTGGACCCTGCAGTTTACAAGTCAAATTTTTATAATATATGCATTATTTATGAAAGCACTTTTCAGATATGTATTTTAAGAACCCAAAGCTTGTTTACATTGAAGAATAAAATGCCTGAGCTGAAAAATTGCATTGTGTGTGTATCAGAATGCTGGGAAATGTCATGGGAGGCTTGTGCTTTATCCGGGTCACAGAAACTGATAGGGTATTCTTATTTGAAAATATGATTATTTATGATATTCTTTCTGCTCCACAATTTCTTTTAAGTTTATCATCATGGCTCTATTGCTGCTTTTTTCTTTCTTTCTTCTTCTTCTTTGTGTGTGTGTGTGTGTGTGTGTGTGTGTGTGTGTGTGACTCTTGCATTATTCCTCAGCTGTCTTCATCCACTTGCATATTTGCTGTTTCGCATAATCTCACTGTCACTTTTTTCCATTTATCTTCTCCCACTCTCTATTTTGCCCCCCAGAAACATATAAAAAAGGTAATTTTCTGATTTTTCCACTTTGCTTACTCTCAGCAGAGCTCAGCTAAAGTCACTAAGAAGGTTCCTTCCAAGAAAGAAAGCAGAGGACTCCCAGCGTGAACTCTCCTTCTTTTTAGGCATTCAAAAGCATTTTATAAGCCATTGTCTTTTTTCCCCCTCCAGAAACCAGCGCTGTGTGGCAAATTGTGCAGAATAGGAATGCCTATAATGAATGTATTTAGCACTGGGTCACGCTGATGAACATTCTGCCCCCATGAATAATACTGTTTTACAAGGTTGTAGCCCTTTCAAATTGCTGATCCCCAAACCCTATAGGCAAACTAGGAAGACTACCACAAGCAACTAGGACTTTAGAAACCCATAGCCATCTGGCCTGGATCTCTAACAAGCTGAGCCAATAATTATATCAATGCAGGCTTTAGCGAACCCCTTTGCAAACACCAAAAGAGCAAAGAAAGGAATTAGTGACTATTCAAAGTTGGGGTGAGAATTCAAAGGTAATCTCATTCCATTAGTTCTAGGAGAGTTTTCTTTGTGGATTTGATAAGTCTATCCCCAAAATCTCTAAGGGCCATAGACTTGATTACCTTAACGTAGAGGATACTTGTCCCGAACACTTAACAAGGAAAAATAAATTTAAAAATCTATCTTTTATTTCTGACAATGAGTTTGAACCGAATTAATCCTTGTCAAACCAGCTTCAGATTACCACACTGAAGTATTTAGAATAGGTTGTAAATTAATATATATTGTACTCATAAAGAGTGTGTTTCTATGATCAGGTCTTGGAATTCTTTCATGGAGGATGGCTTTTTTTCACTTGTGATATCACTCTCATCATTTTCAGCTTACCAATCCATTCCTGAGAAGTTATATATACCTACTTGATAGCCCTGGGCTTTTGATTTCTCCTTAGGATATACTCCTGTGTTTCCAAACTCATTTGCAAAAAGTACAAAATAGGAAATAAATCTTGCACTTTTGATTAGCTTCAGCAGTTCAAAATGTCCTTATTTGGTAGCCCTGAAAAGAATGAACAAACAAAACAAAACAAAACAAAAAGACACTGCTCTCCTGTCATTTGCTATTTGTCAAACAGTTTGTATTAGGGGAGAAAAATGATAAACGTCTGTTAGTTGTCATCTAATGATGATTTGATTGAACTTTCTCTGTCTTCTAGAATTTTACAAGGTCATGAATAAGTAGTCATGAAGAAGTTTAGACCCTCTAAAATCACATCTCAGATACCCAGAGAAGAAGGATTGAATGTTCCTTGAAGTCCATCCACCTTCTAGATGGTAGCCTTTGTTGACAAAGGGAAGAGATGGCTCTGCTTCTGGAGGAATTCTGAGTGATGTTAGGCATGAGGACAAAGGGCTCCTAACTCCCGGAGGAGAATCTTGGTTATTTCCATCCTGTTGTGTATGTTCTGTCCCCAATGTTCCTTTCACCAACTTTCAGCCCAAGTTGGCTGAAAGTTGCTAAACTAGAGAAAAGATACCAGCTGACATTTGCAATACATCCTGTCATTTCTAATAAGAGTTTTATTATGCCATTTATTTTGATTACTCTTGTTTTAAAGAAAATGAAGCTTTATAATTCCAAATCTGTAATGTTTCCCTTGTTACTAAGAGGCAGGGGAATGTAAGACTCAACTACAAAGCTCAAACGTCTCTCCATTGTATGAATAGTGTCTTTTTTGGTACTGAAACACAAAATTAAAGTCCTAAAATTTCTTATAATCCGATGTGGAGGGTTTTTTAAAATGTTTTATTTATTTATTTTGAGAGGGGGCAGTGGCAGACAGAGAGAGAGAGAGAGAGAGAGAGAGAGAGAATCTCAAGCAAGCTCTGTGCTGTCAGCATAGCCGCAGGGCTCAGGCTCACAAACTGAGATCGTGAGCTGAAATCAAGAGTCGGATGTTTAACAGACTGAGCCACCCAGGTGCCCTGCAGATGTGGAGTTGTTTTTGTTTTTGTTTTTGTTTTTTAAATTCTTGGTTATTTGCATTTTATTAGAGCATGTAAAATGCAAAAGAATAGGTAGAGAAATAAATATTCACTTCCATCTGAGCATGTCATATCTTCCCCATCGTCAAAAGAATAATACAAATCTCACAATCTTCTTGTAGATTAAGATAACATTACACTCATTCCTCTTAGTATTTGTCGTGAGATGTTTTGTAGGAGGAATTCCTGGTCCTGCTTGACACCACATGTCCATAACAAGCCTAAGTAATTACTCTACTGTGTACCTTGGGAAATTAGATAAGAGCTAAAGTTTTACCAGAAAAAAAGTTGGTAGAGTTAAAGTATTCTAATACCTTGGAACTGTTTAAGACCAGTTGTTAGCTGTGTGACCCTGAACAAATTATTTAACTTCCCTGAGACTGTCTAATCCTCTGGTAGTAATAATAATACACCATCAAGAATTCTTGGAAGAATTAAACAATCAGAGCTTCCCACAGAGGTTGGTCAAGAGTAAATATACAAGCAAGATTAGTTTCTTTTTCTTAGATTCTGGGTCTGTTTTCTTCCTAACATGTATTGGAGGGGGAAAAAAAAGTTGATTATATTTGCCATCCTTGTTGCTTTTCAAACTTTTGGTTTAGATGTTTATATAATTTTATGCTGGAAAGAGGAAGCTCTCCATTTTTGATTTATGACTGTCACCTTTGAAACATAATCGACAAAACTAATAGTACTGATCTATGATGTTTTTGAAAACTTGCTGGCTCACTGATGAAAATTCCAAAAGCTCTATCCCATATATCTAAGTATGCCTTCAGACCCTGACTATAGAAATATATCTAATAATACAGTTAAAAGAGGTCTATCAGGTGCTTAATTGTCTCTTTTATTTGGTAAGACACACATCTAGTATTTGCCTGTTCTCAAACAGTTTGAAATGAACAGTTTAAAAAAGAATCATGTCGGGGCGCCTGGGTGGCGCAGTCGGTTAAGCGTCCGACTTCAGCCAGGTCACGATCTCGCGGTCCGTGAGTTCGAGCCCCGCGTCGGGCTCTGGGCTGATGGCTCGGAGCCTGGAGCCTGTTTCGGATTCTGTGTCTCCCTCTCTCTCTGCCCCTCC